TGTATTCTACAGGCCTATTTCTTAGGCTACAGTCTGTATTCTACAGGCCTATTTCTTAGGCTACAGTCTGTAGGATACAGGTCTATTCCTTAGGCTACAGTCTGTAGGCTACAGGCCTATTTCTTAGGCTACAGTTTGTATTCTACAGGTTTACTGTGAACCAGTGTGAATGCAGGTAAACTAATTGAAAAAGTGACATATAAAATAAACAGGAAGTAAGCTTGTCCACCAATTAAAACCCTAGTTAATTCCTTGGGAATTAACATTTGGACATTTTCCGCTTTATAGCGACAAAAGTCTATCTTACTTATTTTTTATCTGCATGAGCTATATAGACTTTATTCAGACCCCACTTCCCTTGAATTCCACTAGGGCTAATAATTGTTTGGATACCGCCCTACAGTTTACATGGATTTACTGTGGTCGRAGGCCGGGATTTCATTTGATTGATCATTTTCTTAAGTCACATGCCGATTCATATAGGGCTCTATAGGGCAACATAGTCTCATTTGCTTTTGACAGCATAGTAAAAGCAGACCTTTACCTTGAAAATAATCCTGSTATTTGGCTTGAATACCATCCCATATATCCTCATTTGTACATAAAAAAACGTTAACATTGTAGTTTCGCTCATAAAGCAATTAGGAAACCATCATTTTTTCAAGAAAAACATCCGGATCCAGCCAGGAAACTTAGCACAGGAACTCCATAAGCACGTGACTACTCATACTCAGTCTTCTATCTCGCGCGTTCACGTGGTGAGTCCCGGGAAATTACTTTGCGTGAACTTTGTGTTGGGAGGTTTGTTTATTCGTGTTTCCTTATTCTTCAGTTTGCCATGTGTTGTTGTCGTATTTTGGTAACCTGACGGCWTTATACAATAAACCGTTGGATGATTAAGAATTTAGCGTTGCGAAGCTTTCGAAGCAACTGCATCAATTACAGAAAGTTCTGTTTACCAACTGCAGTGATCATGGCGGAACGAACGTACGAGGTACGTGACCACCGAATGACAACAAACAAGATCAATGACGATATCTCCTTGGTTATGAAGTTGTCTGGTAGTTAATTGACACATTAAGAATATTTAAAGCTRTTTGTATTCATGTTTGTTCTTAAATTGTATTAATTAATGTGAGCACGTCATTTTCAAACCGAGTGGGGGCCGGTCACCATGATTGAGATAACACTAGAAAGAGGTTTTTAGACCTTATTATACCAAAATTTGTATTCAACGCTAACTTGAATGATTTTTTTGTATAGGATGCTGTAAAAGCGCTCAACAGCTTACAAACTAATGCACAAGTGCTAGCTGAAATCAGGAAGACGAGAGGAAGACGTGCAAGAGATAACCTGGAAGAAATGAGGAATTTTACAAAGCGAGCTGGGGTAACGGTGGGTAAAACGTTATTTAGTTTKTGTAGTTGGTCGATTTATCACTCACTCACTTACAGCTTTCATCATCMTTTCCTGTTTKAATGATGATCCCATTGTTTGCATTGCTATGTGCTCAGCCAGACAAATCAACAACATTCAATACGTGATAGATTGCTGTCAATCAAAATTTTTGGACAAACTTGATGGTTGACCCCAGAGCACTTAGCATACTTGTCTCCAGAGCACCTCAGTCATCAATCTTCCCTTTGTAAGTACTGGAGGTATGATTCATTTGAAGCTTGACTCTGATCGGTAATGAAACTTGAGCATGTGCGATTTTTGCTGAACATCCAACCTTCTCTCCAAACTTTTTAGATAGAATCCTAGTGTGCATAAAGTCAATAATCTTAGCAGACCTTTTACAATTGGGATCAGCTCAAATTTCAAAATGGTAGAATGCAGGAAAATAAACAGTTTGTACAATATTCCACTGAAAACAGGTCAAAGTGTACAAGTTTGGTTCTCTACTTTGAGAAATAAATAGAAGAAGGTGATCAATTGGAAAATGAAAGACCTYCAGTATTAATGTAGCATAGACTTTGATTGGCTGATTGGAATGTCTGTATCAAAGATCAGAGAAATGTTGTGATGGAGACAAGTATGAGCACTTTAGTTGACTGAGAGCATCCTGTTGCTAATTGCAGTTGTTTTGATTGGACTGGTTGTGTACAATAGCTCCATGCTGTACTTGTAGTTCCCAACGAGTAATTGAGGGATTTTTTGTTTGATATGCCATTTCTCCTCAGTAACTGAGTAACCACAGCATGTTGGAGTGACATGTCAATTTTACTTAATAAAATATAGATGGAGATGCTTGACAAGCTGTCAGTCATTCATGTCAGTGGAACAAAAGGCAAGGTAGGGTACATGACTATAAAACAGAAACACAAGTGACTGTGTGTTAGTTGTTTTATTAATGTGCTACTTGCATGAAAAGCAATATAGCAATATAAATATATAACTCACATATATCTATTAAAAACAATTGTGGGAAAATATTTGTTTTGGAATTGTCCCACATAAGAGAAATTTTGATTCAAAAGATGGAAGAACAAAATGATGGAATAAATGACGTCATCTACTCCAACATTTTTTGCCCAAATTATTAAAGATTTGTATCAATATCTTCTTAAAATCTGTTGCTTCATGATTATTAGACCCATATGGATAGGTCTATTTGATTTAATGTTTCGCAAATTTTGTCCAAGTAGCTCTTTAATTACTGTTAGTGACACTATCAAGGCATATCTAAACTACAGTATGATGTACAGTAAGTTTGTGAGCATTTCAAACATTTTCAATCCATTCGATCTTGTGCTGGACCCTTACTCAAAGGCTCAGTAGGGCATCAACATACTGATAAGGACAATTCAAATAGTCCAGTCAAATTAAGCCGAAAATGTGCTCAACCCTAAACAAATTGCAACAAAAGGTTTTTCAGCGGCTTCTTACTCAGAATTTATTTATCTATAACATACAAAAAGTCCCAAAAAATCGAACTTCGGGAAGATGCTTAAAAATGCAATTTTTGTACGGCTTTCAACGATTCTGAGATTACGACATGAAAACGAGGCTGCAGGCAGCCTGCGGTTTTAGTAGCTGAATTTTGTCCATCTGTGATGAAAATTGACAATAATGTTAATAGCGGAGCTCCCGCGCGGGCCAAAGGCCCGCGCGAGCGGAGCACCATAACTAAGGAAAAATGGTAAACCCATGGTGTTGAGTTTTGATCAACCGACACAGGAAGCCCAGTTGTCCTTCCGTACGTACGGCGTACGTACGTCCGTCCGTGTACATCGCGATTCTGATTGGCTACTTTTGAGAAGGCGGGAAAAGGAAGCGCGCTCGCGTCAATTTTTGAAACAACTTTTTCACCACAACGAC